TCTGCTCACGCGCTGGGCCAGCCGGGGTCAGATGCCGAGATGGTGGGCAACCACCAGTGGGACCATCCATTCATCCTGGAGAAACCATCCCGCAGGACCCCCCCTCCTCCTCCCACCCCGATGCTGAGCGGGACCTGCCCTACGCCCGCTCCAAATATGATGGGGGTGCCCAGCTCTGGCAGCGCGGGGCAGGATTTATTTACTCACATTCCCAGGATGGTTATGGTAATGGCCAGGAACAATTCGGTGCCCTGTTCGGGTCTGCCACGGTGCTCAATGTCCTTCTTGTTCAAGGACAGTTCCCTCCTCCCCGAAATCGTGGGTCCCTTCCCACGCTGCAGGAGCGGGGTCCAGGGGATGCTCTGGAGCTTAGGCGGGACTTGCACCGCCCCTGCCAAAAATCCTCCAGCGCCCATGGGACCTGCTCACACCCCCACAAAGTCCACCTTGTCCCCCCAAAAAACACCTTCCTGGGGTCTCATGGCTGCAAAACCCTCAGGCAGACGTTTGCAAGGAGGGCAGGAGGTGTCCCAACACCGGACAACAGCCAAGGGGAGTGGGGGGGGACAGCAGCTTCCAGCCCCCTCATCAGCAAGTGACAGATTAGAAAAACACCCACCTTTATTCACCCATTTTCTGCAGAAGGCACTTAAATAGCCGCAGGTTCAGCCGAGCGGAAAGGCACGTGTCTGCTACCGTGGCATGGGGTCCTCACCCCTAACAGAGCATCCCTCCCTTGTCCCCCATGTCACCCCCCCAGAGTCTCTGTGATACCCCCAGGTCAGCTCTGCAGGGGGGATGCTGGATGCCGCAGGGGTGGTGTAGGGCATCCCCCAACTCCCCATCCCACGCCGGTTGGGGGCAGAAGGGGGGCCCATCCGGCAGCCCCACGGCTGAAGTCACAACGCTGGTGTCGCTGGTTCCTGTGGGACATCACAGCTCGTCCTTTCCCAGCACAACAGCAGCTGGTGGTTCCTGCTCCGGCTCCTGCAGCAAATCCCTCTCTTCTGTGCCAAAAAGCATCTTCACCAGATCATCCGCCTGCACACGCTCCTGCGGGGCAGACCCATGGGGATAAGCGTGGCCATTGTCACCCCCCAAAAACTCACCCGCTGCTGGGGAGGGAGCTCACCCGCTCGCTGTGTCGAGGGTCCAGGGTGAACCAGAGGGCGATGGCGCAGCGCTGGCCCTTGGTCACAGCTTTCACCCCGTGGGGGTTCTCTGAGCCAGAGGAGAAGCCCACGGCACGACCACACTGCGGTTGAACCTCTGCCTGTGATGGATGGGAAACCCCAGTCAGGACACGCTCGGTGGGCAGGGGGGGTGAGTTGGTCCCTCCAACCCAAGTTCATCCCATGCGGTGGCATAGGGGACAGGGCCAGCAGGCAGGAGCTGGGTTTGGTGCTGCACATGGATCCTCAAGGAACTGAGCTACTCACGGTCTCAGTCTTGGCATCCAGCTCAGTGAAGTAGAAAGCTCCTCCTTCAAAGTCCCCGTTGAGGTAGAGGATGGCACTAAAGAAAGCAGGGGACAAGCAGAGGTGATGACCATCACCCCAGGCCACAGCTGCAGCAACTGGGAGCTCCCCCAACATCATGGCAAGAGCAAGAGGCAGGAGACCCCAGGCCAGGTTGTCCTCCCACCCTGCACCTCCCAAGCCAGGTGCCACCAAGCCACGGTGCCCTCAGGTGGGGAAGCTCTGGCTGATAGACTCCACTGGTACCTGTAATCCCGGAAGGTGTAGGCTGGAGGTTCCTTCAGGCACACCAGAGCCTCCGCATTGAGGATGCAGTTGTCCACGTGCACCTCATGGCTGTTGTCACTCCGGCCTTCTTGCTTCTCTAGGGTGGAACAAGACGTGGCACATCAGGACCCCTTTGTCCCTGCAAGACTGGGGTCTGTCCCCAAGCACTGTGTGCTTGGAGGTGACAAGAAAGTCACCTGTAGCTTAAAGCCCTTCTACTCGCTGGAGCGTGTGGACGCCATTAAGATGGCACAAGTCTCCGTTGACCTGTCCCATGGCATCTCCATGGCCCTCCAGACACCTCCTCCCCCAGCACTCAATCCCAAATGCCTCTGGGTCCTGAAATCTGGTACAGCATGAAGTCACCTGCCCCACCAGAGGCAACCAACAGAGCTGCTCAACTTCCCAAACCAGGCTTAGGGACAAGCTCCCCCCACCTTCCTTCTGGGAAAAGGAGTAGGTTAGGGAGCAGCATGGAGGTCTCCAAGGAAAAATCCAAGACCAGACCACGCCAGCTGTTGGAGAGGACCCAGACAGGACAAAAGGCTGAAGGAGACTTGCTTTTCCTTTGGTTGTGTTCTTCTGAGGCCATGCTCACCCTCGATGGCTGTGCGGCACACCAGGTGGGAGTAGGAGAAGTGGAGCGGGACCTCCAGGCGGAAGTAGGACTCCATCATATGCCGCACCTTCTCAGTCACGTTGTAGTAGAGGTAGGCGCTCCGCAGGGGCACCTTGCCCTCCTGGCCCAGCTGTGGGGGACAGACGGGACACGGGCTCAGCCTTAGGCAGGTTGGGCAAGCACGGGCAGCTGCCTGCCTTCAAAACCCCCTCCCTGGTCTCCACAGCCTGTTTCTCCCCCCTCCCCGCAGCCACCCAAACCTTGAGGGCCTTGAGGACAGTCACGCCGTAGAAGGTCTCGCTGGGGGTGTGAGGAGATGTCTTCCCACGATAGCCATCCCCGGCCGAGGCAGCTGCCTGCAAAACTCAAGTGGCATTACTGGTCTGACAGCTCTGTGGAAAGGGACCTGGGAGTCCTGGTGGACAACAGGATGACCGTGAGCCAGCAATGTACCCTGGTGGCCAAGAAGGCCAATGGCATCCTGGGGTGCATCAAGAAGAGTGTGGCCAGCAGGTTGGACTTGATGATCTCCAGAGGTCCCTTCCAACCCTGACCATTCTGTGATTCTGTGTGATTCTGTTGGGGGAGGTCATCCTCCCCCTCTGCTCTGCCCTGGTGAGGCCACATCTGGAGCGCTGTGTCCAGTTCTGGGCTCCCCAGGTCAACAAGGACAGGGAACTGCTGGAGAGGGTCCAGCAAAGAGCTACAAAGATGATGAGGGAACTGGAGCATCTTTCTTATGAGGAAAGCCTGAGGGACTTGGGGTTTGTCAGTCTGGAGAAGACTGAGGGGGGATATTATCAACGCTTGTAAATCCTTAAAGGGAAGGTGCCAGGGGGATGGGAACAGGGGATGAGAGCTGGCAGGGGGGTTGGACTGGATGATCTCCAGAGGTGCCTTCCAATCCTGACCAGTCTGTGATTCTGAGCTGCAGGATGGCACCCTTCAGCATCCCCTGCCCCGTCCCTGCCCGCTCCTCCCACCCCAGTGCTCACATTGGTGAGTCTTTGCAGCTCCCGGCACTCCTCGGCGGAAAGGACCCCATCCACTACGACGCGCTGGGAGCCATTCAGGGCCTTGGAGTTCATGGTGACACTGGCTCCTTCGTACACCAAGGGGCCACCTGTGGCACAAATGGGCTCAGGAGGACACAGGAATGGGTGCCACCAACACTGGGGTACAGTGCTAGGGGAAGCTGTGGTCCTGCCACCTGCTCCTGCCACCACCCATGTGGAGAGACCATGAGCTGGCAGTGGGGAACGTGGAGGTCCCCATCTCACCTCCCCTCCCGGCTCTCCTCACCTTCTCGGATGAACTTGCTCATATCAGCAGACTCCTTGGCCTTCTCCTCCACCAGCGTCTCAATCTCCTTCATGAGGTTGCCAATCTCCTCCGAGATGCGTGCCGCTGTCTCCCGCTCCACCCTGGGCATGTGGCAGCCATCAGCTCCACCGCCCCACTGTCCCCACATAGGGAACCAGGGGCACCAGTACAAGGGCAGGACAAGTTGTCTCCAGGGTCCAGTGACAAAGCCCAAGGCTGGAGACAGTAATCTCAATGCAACCCTCACCCTGAGCTGCTCTGGATGACCCATCTATCCCCATCACCCTAAGGGCCGCTGGGGAGCAAAGTTCGGCCCTCCAGCAGCCTCTTCCAGCCTCAACACCAAAAACCCCTCCCTGGCAGCAACTCCATGGCCATGGCCAAACCCCATGGAGGAAGAGGGGTATGTCCCATCTCCCCCATTAGGTAGGCTTGGCCATCAGCTTGGGAGAGCACTCACTTCTGTTTCTCTCGCAGTCGTTTTGGTATCACCTCTTCGGGTGTCCATGTATCCTGCAGCCAGAAGAACACCAACATCAGGAGCTGGACGAGGATCTGGCTGGGCCGCAGACCCCGCATCCCCTTTCCATCTGGCCACCACATCCAGCCTGGTCCAGCACCACTCACCGGGTCCACGAAGGGGATGCCGAAGACGTCATAGCTGAAGAAGAGCAGCTCCTTCTCCATGAGGCTTCGCTGGCGGTACGCCTGGATCTCCTGTGGTGAGGGGCAGAGGGACAGGGTGAGGGCACGGCACGAGGGCTCTGGAAGGACCCCGGGGGAGGGCAGGAGGGTGCAGAGTTTACATCCTTCCCGCAGTCCTTGCTCCAGATCCACAGCCCTGGTTTCCCAGTCCCTCTGGCAGCCAGGAAGCAAGTGGTTTCCCCCCCCCTGCATGAACTTCCCTGTCCTGTGTGGACGAGCCCTAGGGAGAAGACAGGGGAGACAGAGGCACATGCGTGTCCCTCTTGCAGTGAGCTCTTTCGAAGCAGATTCCCTTCCCTGCCCCACCTGACATGGGCAGAGACCTCCATCCCTGCCTAGCACCTCCCAGGCAGCACCTGAGCATCTGGATCCACCTATTTTGAAGCCAAATCCTCTCCTTTTAAAGCAATTTCACTTCAGCTGTGGAACCACGTAGCAGAGGTGGTCTCAGGTCCTCCTAAAAAGTCTGTCTGTTTGCCTCTTGCAGACTTCTCCCACAAGAGCTGTCCCATTTGTGCAAGCCATCAACCCTTCGCTTGGCCAAAGGTATTTCACCAGTGATGTTTTTCATCTTGTCTCAGCTATTTTCCAGCTTGTTGGGTCTTGCATCCATCCGTTCCTCTCCACCTTGCCACCGAAGGGTGGCTAGACCAGAGCAGATCCATCTAGAGCAGACCCCAAAACCTCTGCAAAGGTCCTCAAGGAGGGGAGAAGATGTCCCTGCAACGTTCATCCCAGCCGGTCGCTCACCTCTCGGGGTTGGATGGGTCCTGCCAGGTTTTCCCCCAGGACAGCAGTATAATAGACCAAATTCTGGTTCATCACCTCATCATTTGGGAAGAAGAGCAAATAGGTTTTGGCGCATTCAATGGCTTTTTCGTAATTCCCATCTGCAAAGAGAAACGGGGATGTTAACGGCATGTCCAAGAGCATCAGAGAGAGAAAACATGGATATGGAGGAGGAACAAGAGAGAAAGTCCTTGCTGTTCTCCAAAGGGTCTCCCAAGTAGGGCAGATGCCCTGGAGCAAACATTACTCCTGCCACAAAAGCAAAATTAAGAGCCCAAGGCACTCTCCTGCCCCCAGAAATCATCTCACCAGAAATCAGGGCTGCTGCTTGGGTGGTTTTCTTGCTTGGAAAACATCTTGAAGCCTATTTCCGGACAGCGACACCCAACCATTTTCAGGCTAACCTACAATTTTCAGCCACTGACGCACCCTTACCCTCACAGGATTGCAGCCTTTCAATCTTCTTGGACTTTGTATTTTTTTCTTCCCTCCTTTTGGAGAAATTTGCACAGAACCGTTTAGATTTTTCTCAGGAGGTGAATAAAAAAAAAGAATAAAAAAAATTGGATATATTTGCCTGGATTATAAGTAACTGCTCTGGAGGGGGAGGGTGCCTCTGTGGTTTGGAGCAAGAGGTGGACAGCTGGAAAAAAAATATGCTTCTCTAGGGTGTTATTTCATTCGGAAAGTGAAGCTGCCTGGGAATTTGGCATCTAAAGGGACATGGAGGGCTCTTGCAACCAGGTGCAGCAAGAGCCAGCTCTCCTGTGCCACATTTCAGGCTGAAGGAGCGGGACTATGTGAACCTCATGAAGATGGTCAAGTGGAAGTTCCTCCACCAGTATTAATAAAGACTGGGGAATGGATGGGTTTAGAGCAGCCCTGTGGAGAAGGACCTGGAGATGCTAGCAGATGAAAAATTGGACGTGAGCTGGCAATGTGCACTGGCAGCCTAAAAAGCCAAGAGTATCCTGGGCTGCATCACAAGAAGTGTGACCAGCAGGTCAAGGGAGGTGATGCTCCCCCTCTACTCTGCTCTCATAGGATCCCACCTGGAGCACTTGCATCCAGCTCTGGGGTCCACAGCACAAGAAGAACATGGACCTGTTAGAGCGGGTCCAGAAGAGGCCACCAAAATGGTCAGAGGGCTGGAACACCTCTGTGAAGAAAGGCTGAGAGAGTTGGGGTTGTTGAGCCTGGAGACAAGTAGGCTCCAGGGAGACCTTCTTGCAGCCTTTCCATATATAAAGGGGGCTTAGAAAGGTGGAGACAACTTTTTACCAAGGCTTGTAGTGACAGGACATGGGGCAACGGTTTTAAACTGAAAGAGGGTCAGTTTAGGTTATCCATAAGGAAGAAATGCTTTATAATGAGGGCAGTGAGACACTGGAACAGGTTGCCCAAAGAAGTTGTGGATGCCCCATCACTGGAAGCTTTCAAGGTCAGGTTGGACGGGGTCAGGTTGGACGGGGCTTTGAGTGACCTGATCTTGTGCAAGATGTCCCTGCATCTTGGGTTGGACTAGATGATTTTTGAAGATCCCTTCCCAACCCAAACCATTCTGTGAGTCCATGATTTCTGCCCGTGAAGATGGGCCCAGGCAGAGCATGACGTCCAGCACTGATGGCCAACGGAGCCCAGGGCATGGAGCTACTTACTGTTGTAGTAGGCAAACTGCAGGTAGTTGAAGTGCGAGGGCAGGAAATCCTCCAAGGGCTTCTCCCGGCCGGGCTGCGAGGCCAGCTCTGTAACGCAGCCCTGCTTGCAGCTTAGCACCTGCATGTAGTGATCTGGTGGTGAAAAAACCCATGTCACTACATATGGTCATCTAAGGAGTGGTAGACAGGACCTTTGAGGGGTTTCCACTCCAACCTTCTGTGCGCAACAGGGTTGTTGACAGCTTTTCAGTGGTGGAAACCCTCAAGGATGGTGGTTGCCCACCTCTGCATGACTGGTGGTGGGGCTGTGCCACTCTCTGGAGACAGTGGCCATCCTTAGCCTTATACCCTTGCGTCCTGGTGCCCCTCTGCTGGTCCCTCTCCTGTTTCTCCACATCCCTCTGGAATTTGGGGGATTCCTGGGCATCACTGCCAGTACTGAGCATGGGCAAACATCTCCTGCCACTTTCTGTTCACACTTCTAGCGAAACCTTGGAGGGGATTTGTCCTCTTTGGGGACCCACCCCCACTCTGGGTCTTTGGGGACCTCTTTGGGGACCACCCCATCCCCCCCCGGATTGTCCCCAGCTGTTGAGACAGGACGCAGCACGCGCGGCTTCCACCTGTGATGGCCTGGAAAAGGTCCGCGTTGTACTCCAGGTAGTTGTAGCCCTCATAGTCGTAGGGTCCCTCGCAGAGTGCGCGGCACTCGGCGTCCGCCACAAAATACTCCTCCAGCGCCTTCTCCAGGTGCAGGATGGCAGCGGCCGGCTGCTCCTCTGTGTAAAATCGGACACCCAGCCGGAACTCGCTCTGCGGAGGGATGAGAAATGATGGGGTGGGGGGTGTCAATGCTCCGCTCCCTGTGACAGAGCACATGGGACTCCTTGTCCCCACAGGATAGGGATGGTCCTCCAGCACCAAGGTACCATCTCATGAGCTTGTCAAGCCGACAAATGTGGTGTGACATCCCCAGGTCCAGCAGCAGAGGGTTTTTTTGGGAGGGGTTGCCCCAGGCTGGGTGGGGCGGGGGGTCCTCACCAGGTGGGGTTTGGCCTCTAGGTCAGCGAAGTCATCCTCACGGACACCCGCCATGGCTTGGTAGTACTCCAGGTTCTGCCTCATCTCCTGGTGCCCGGGGTTGGCCACGAAGAAGGTGTGTGCTGCCGCTGCTGCCTGC